GGAAGGTGCGGGGAACGGTGCGGGTTGAGCGGCCTCCGGCCCCGCTGGGCCTCTCCCCGCGGAACGCAGGCCGGGGCTTTCCCGCTCGAAATGGGTGGGGGTGTTGCGGGAACGGGGTCCCCGCGGCTGCCGCCTGAGCCTTCCCCGCCCGGCCGAAGCCGTCCTGCCGCTGTGCCCAGCCCGTCTGACCCGGCCCAGCCCCTGGGGCCGCTCCGCTCTGACCTTGAGGCAGAGGTGAGGCAGGTCCCTTCCAAGGAGCCGCGGCCGCCGCGTGGGTTTGTCCCCTTTCGCCTTTGCCGGGTGGATGAGCAGAGGGAGCAACACCCGGAGCTGCGGGTGGAGAGGGCTTTGTGGGACCTTCTGGCTCGAACTGACGCTCCTGTGTTTCCAGGTTTGAGGCTGGGATTGGGAGTGGAAGTACCAGCAGCTGCTGCCTCGCTGTGTCTCCAAGCAGTTCTTAATCTGCTAGTTTTTCTACAAATAGGAATAAAACAGGAGGGAAGGTATGCATGTATATAACACTGGTGTGGTTATGACTAAGTCTTAAATCTTCTGAAAGTGGCAATGGGCTTTTATGGGTTAGGAAGGTACATTTCCTTGGCTCTTACAACTTCCATGTGTTTCTAGGCACCCCTGTGCTGCCAAGCTTTCAGTGGGTATCTGGGCGATTGTGCATGTGCTTCCCTTGGGGGCCAGCACAAATTGCTAAGTGCTCAGCATGATGAAAGCAGTGTACGTTTTACTGAATGCAGGCAATGGTTGCTCTCCAGCAATTAATTCAGAGGCTGGCTGGCTGATCCCGTGTTCTCCCCCTAAATGAGAAGCAGAACTGTGGAGTGCTGTGTGAACGCTAATGAGTTACACAGGATACTGAAGTGTGGCTTGGTCCTGGAGCCTGTTTTGAAATAACGCCTAGCATACTGTGCTGTCAGTAGTGAAATGGTTCAAATCAGTAACCACAATTTGGAAACAGCCTGTATTAGTGCCATTTATTACAAGAGTATTGATTTTTTTAAAAAATTTTTTTTTAAACCCATTACATTATGATTCATGCAACACACCTGAAACAGATGAGAAGTTACTGAGTGACAGTATTTGGCTTATTGGAGTTTCTTTAAGCTTCAGGAATAATACATCTGGTTAAAGACCGTCTTTCTTAAAGCTGTGCTTGTCATGTACAAGTTGTACAAAGGATGTGGTTCATACAGTGTGGGTTTTTAATTAGTCTTTCAATATAGCCTACATATGAATGTTTTCCATTCATAATACCCCAAAGTATATTTTGGAAGCAGCAGGCTTCAAAAGAAGCATCACGTTAGAGTGAAAAACACTCTGTTTACTGACTTGTTGTTGAATTCAGGCTTGAAAGTCAATGAGAGTTATATTCATATGTGTATTTGTGTTGTTCTAAGAGTCTTGGAACTGTTTTGACAGCACTGCCAGCCAGGTGTCTTGTTCAGCAGTGTGGTTCTGAAGCAGTGGGTGCTCTCTGGCTCAGTGATTTTACTCCAGATAAGCAATTTGTTTCAGTTGCTTGCCCAGTGAAGGTACCTTGCCACAAACTTGAGAACTGAATTAGTTTGAATGTTTTATTTGAAAGTGTCACATTTGTATTTCTGCTTTCCAGCTGCCTTCCTGAGGGATGAGGTGTATTTTTTATTTTAATTATGCTGGTGTGGGGGGGACTTATTACTGGGAAAATCACATCCAAACACCATTCTAGATGTTCATATTTGTTCTTTTGTTTTTTTACTTGTATCTTCTGAGAGCCATGTAGACATACCTAATATATTGTTATGAATACAGTTTTCTTAGCTGCTGCTCACCATAAGGAGAGCAGATCTCTGGTTTGTGTTATAGGTGGGAAGGGGAAAATATTCTTGCCAGCTAGCCTTAGACACCTGATGGAGACTAAGTTCTGTAATTTTTAGAAAGGTAATGCTTAACACTCTTCCTTGGAGGGTACTCTTTGCTTTCATTTGAGAGATCCAGGAAGCAGAGAAACTGGAAAGCCCAAATAATCTGAAGCTAGGCAGTGATGCTCCAGAGGACTTGCCTAATGGGGCAAAACTAGTCAGTCAAAATACAAGTGTGCTAGGTCTCAGTCCTGGGGACAAACATTTTCTGTCTCTAAATGGTTTAGAACAAGATACTTGGAAGAATGGAAGTGAAAACATTCATGTTAGAGTTACTGTTGTAAAATGTGTATGCTTCATCTTTCTCTTCCTTTAGGAGACAAGTATCTTAACACTTGCCAGGAAAAGGGAGACCTCACTCTGACATAACTGGTAAACAAGTGTGAAGCATGAGGATCAACTCTGCTGTTCAGGCTGCTATTGACCTCACAGCAGGAGCTGCAGGTAATGCTGGAGAGAACTTAGTTGCACAGAACTTCTGAGGGACAGTTTTAATAGCTTTGGCAAATGTGAATGCAGTTTCCCATTGCTATAAAAAGCCTTGCCTTTTGTATTTAAAGGGTATGGCTGTGAAGCAGCTGACCTCAGCCAGTGTTGGAACACCTGCCTCACAGTGAAGGCATAACCCTTATTTCAGACTTACAATTTTCCAGAAGCAGGGTTTAAGTTTCAGTGTTGGTTCTCACGCTTGCATGAGTTAATTAAGAATCAGTCACAAGAAGAGTTATGGAATAAATGCAGTGTGTGAGTGATTGAGGTGGTTCTTTTGTCATGGGCACCTCTAATTGGAACAGGCAAGAGGCTGTTATTGGCTCAGACAACATCCTGGTGTGAGTATTTAAAAGCTGGAAAGTTCAGTAATAGGACTGAGATAGTTAATTCACTTAACTAACTTCCACTTCAGTCTAGTCTGGGCTATAAAATTTTGCTGGACCAGTTGTGACAGGCACAAATGTGATAATAGTTGCATTGTCTCACTGACATTGACGTGTTGGTAATGTCTGTGGCTGAGGGATGAACTGATTTTTAACTCCATCAGGGAAAGGAGAGCTTTTTGACATTTCTAAGCTGAGAATGTTCATAGAGAAAAGGTGGAAAGAAAGATTTGTCTAATGTACTGTTGTAACCAATTAAAGCAATTTCATGTTTTTTCTTTCCCACACAATAGCTGTTAAGTCATTCCCTTTATGACTGTGTTAATGCTGTGAATATAACAGTATTAATGGTGTTAAGTGCATTTAAGGGTAGTTATTTGAGGTCATTTGTCAGAGTGGAGTTAACTTTAGTGCAGTGAGGAAGCAAGGAGTGACAGATAACAGGAGTCCAATGTAGCACCCTTGTAAAGAATTTTGCCTGCAACCGCATTATGCCCAGTGACTACCTCCTTTGTTAGCCTTTGTAAAATATCTTATTGGCCAGACAACACTTTTCCTGCAAAGGAAAACAAGTGCTTCTCCTATTATTCCTTCACTGCTTTAGAAAAAAAATGTTTCTGTTAGTCAGTTCATTCTCCTTGGTTTTGTGTGCTGAGTATCTACGACATTTGCTCTCTATCCAAGTAAGTAGCAATTTAGTGTCTCTGCAGCTCTTGCCAGTTTTGTGGGTATTCCCAGGTGCTTAAATGGGAGCCATGATTGCTTTTGTTCCCAGTACTTCAGCTCAGGAATGCTGCTGTTAACATCCAGGGCTGCAGAGCACCCTGGCTTAGGAAGTTGTCTTTCTGACTTGAAGCCTGGTGTGTCTCATCTTGGCTACTACAAGAGTTGGAAACCGGCATCAGCTTAGAAATGGGTTGCTTGGTGATACTGTTTCATGCCCACGGTAACTGTTTCATGTTTCAGGCTAACAGAGCATGCACTCCAGCTTTGCCTGGTTTTTGTCAGTATTGCCTAGAGGGTCTTAGAACTAGTTATGCTGGTTTCTTCTCTGGTATAGTTCTTCCTTCAGACAAGATGAAGGAATTCAGACCTTTTTCAACATGAAGTCAGTAATTCTGGATAATTGTTATTTTCCTTTGCTACTTCTGTTGTGTAGTTTTACTGTTCCTCTAGTATTTATTTTCCATGTTTTTTTCACATACTTGTTTTGTATGGCCTGTGTTCAGTGGAAGTGCTTGTTTCTGTGTTAATGTGTTTCTGCACCCTTTAGAAAGTGCATTTAACTAGGCAAACAGCTAGTTTCTCCAAGAAATGTGTAACGTGGTTTTACCTTCCTCTCCAGATACAGTCTCAAATGGCTGATAAGTAATGACATCAGAGCACATAAATTCTGTACAAGAATAAATAAGTAATTTAGCTGCCTGTGGGTCATAGTCCTTTGCCTAGGATCTGAGCTACCTCTAATCACTTCCTTCATTAAATAGGACTCTTTCTCCGCTGTTACCATGTTATTATTAGGACCATATTTGTCTCAATGTTCAAGCAGGGTTGACTTTTTTGTCTTTGTGGTCCTTTTTTGTTGTTGGATTGTTGTTTTTTCTGACTCTGCTGGCTGGAAGAAGTTTTTTCATTAATACTTTAGATATTAACTGGGACTCCTCATCTTTACCTCAAGGCTTACAAAGGTTATTGCTGTAGTTTATGGGGCTTCTTGTGCCATCTTCAATGACAGTGTGAGGGGAGCCCTTTCATTTTTTTGAACAGCCATTCACAATCAAATCTCAGTTTTTCAGCTTGGTGTTCCCAAGGCCTTTCCTGGTTTCCTTGGGCTTCTTCCAACAGCCATTATTTTACTACATCTGGATGCTTCAGGTCTGCCTTTACACAGGAACTTAGCACTTGTCCTACAGATTAATATCTACCTGACTTGCCTTCAGGCAGCATTGGCTGAGCCTTTCCAGCTCTGCTTTTCACCTGAGGCTCACATGGATGTTACTGGTCTGAGCCGGCTACTTGTCTCCCTGTTTTTTTCCTCCCAAAGCAAGAAGCTCTTCAAGCTCCCTTGCATGATTTTCTCAGAAGCTTTTAATGATCCATCTGGTTGAGAATGAGATTTTGTGGGAGCTAGGATGTTGAATTCCTCCTGAAGACCTCAATACCTCTGAAGAGGAGCAACAACAATGTAACCCATGTGCTTGCGAACAGTAAAATAAATTTTAAAATTACCATGGTTAAACAAACACTTGATTGCTCTTCTACTTTCCACTTAGAAGAAAAATAACTAATCTTAATCGGATTTACACATTTGTTTCTATTTCAGTTTCTTTACATTGTCTACATTGACAGATAATTAGTTTCATAGCTGAATAGCATGTTGTGAACTTGCCCTCTTTAAGATATATGCATGTCAACTGTGCTTTGGTTAAAAGTCAGTTTCTGGTTTAGAGTGGTTCTTCTTTCTGGTAAAAAAAAATAAAAACATTAAGTTAATGTAAGCTAAGCCTATCAAATGCTTCCTTTTGGGTATTGGCTGCTAATAGATTGCTCTCAGTGTACACTAATATTTCTTCCTGAAAATAAAAAGTAACATTGGCCCCTTCTGCAGACTGCTGAATTGAGTGGGGTCTCATGGTAGAACACTGCCCTGTGGACAAAGTGGCTATTGATGACAGTGATGAAAACATCTCACAAGTTTTCAGGGTATTGACCTTGCAGTTCAGTTTGGAAAAGATAACATGTTGAGAAACTTTGCCCTTTTGTCCTTTTTCAGCTTATCCTGGACACTTTCTTCCAGTATGTGGGATTAGATGTAAATAAGAATCATCTAGACTTTTGAACTAATGAGCTTGAGTCTTTTGTTATATCAATTTATAATGCATCATCAGTTTTAGCACTCTCAGCAGTGTTCTGCTTGTCCTAGGGGAATCTTTGTCTCACTTGATTACAAACCTCTTGGATTTTTGATGTTGGAATGTGAAATCAGATGGTTTCTGAACCACTGCATTGATGAGAAAGAAAAAAATGTTGCTTAACTCATTAAAACGAGTGACTTGATTGCAGAAAAATACCTCTAATCCAGTACCGATTTATGCAAGTGAACAGATTCATTTAAATGCTTCCATGTAGTAAGGTAAAGAAATGTCATGAAAATCAAGCTGTTGCTGTTCTTATGCATGAGGTTTTTCTTCACCACTACCAGTTGATGACATTGTGCTAAAATCTTTCCTTGCAGAGACTTCTTTCATCTTTGCTTTCTGTGTGACTTTCCTAGTAGCGTAGTGCTGTTTGTGTATAAGTATTTCAGTTGTCATAACCTTCAGCCCCCTCTTACCTTCTCCTGCTTGCTTAGGTGGGACAGCATGTGTGGTGACTGGTCAGCCCTTTGACACTGCGAAGGTGAAGATGCAGACGTTCCCAGATATGTACAAAGGACTCATTGACTGTTTTGTGAAAACCTATAAGCAAGTGGGGTTTCGAGGCTTCTACAAAGGAACCACACCAGCACTTGTAGCCAACATCGCCGAGAACTCCGTTCTGTTCATGTGCTATGGGTTTTGCCAACAAATCGTGAGAAAAATTGTTGGAGTAGACAGGAAAACAAAGCTCAGGTTAGTAATAGAAATGTCTTTCATTTTTTAAAATAGAAAGTCGTGCAACTGCTACTTGTGAATACTGTATTGTCAGCATGCAACTGATGTCCCAGGCCTCATTCTGTCAATATGCAGTATAATACGTTTTGGAATGTAGACTTTTGTGCTCAGATATGGTGTCTAGCTAAACAGAGTCATCTGTTTGTCACTGCAGCTAGCTGGTGTAGATAATCACAACTTAACTGGATATTCAAGACCTGGAACATCTTACCAAAGGGAATGAGCATTGTAGCTCCTGAAAGTTGGTACTCCCTTGATCTCTAGGTTGTTCTGATTTTGCAGGGGAGGTAATGGTTTCTTTTACAGGGAAACATACTAAGGGAAAAGGACACTTTTCTAATGCTGTCTTGCTTTTTAAATGTATATATTTAAGTTTCAAAAGCTTGAATTTTAGGGTAATTTGGTTGAGGGTCTAATTCTGCACAGTGTGTTGTCTACATTACTGGCAAAGACTGGTCATTCCTTAATGAGAACAAAGAGAAAGTATTTAACACTTGCAGCCTGGAAGAGGACTCAGAGTGTTTTTAGTTCAGAGGATTTCTTGAGCCCAGTGTGATAGTCATTGATTTCTGATCTCTTCTACAGCACTTGTCCAGTCATCCCTCAAAATTCTTACAGGTTCCTTTCATCTGCAATACACTTTGGCAGGGAGTTGTGCAGCTGATAATTGTTAATCCTGTAACTGGAAGAGGCCTTCTAGCTTTAGCCATGCTACTTGGGATGTTGTAGTCCTCTGGCCATTACTGTGTCCCTTTTCACCACCTGAGTCTTCTCCTAGGTAGAAAGATCACAGCCTTCCTAGTCAGTGAGCACTCAGGAGCTGTTCCTTCAACTGTCTTCGCCTTTCTCTGTAACTCTTATCGTTCTAATGCATCTGCGTTTCAGCTCATGAGACCCAAGCAGTGCAGACTATTCAGGGTGTGGACAAGTCATGGATTTATGCACTGGCATAACAGGTGTAATCTTTTTCTAGCTAGGATGGCTTTTCTCCAGGTGCATCACTCTAGAGCTGACAGTGGTCCAACAGTCTCTGTGCCTTATTGCTATGCTTTTCTCAAGGTATGTCTTCTGTGCAGCTCTGAGAGCACCTGTGCCTTCTCCATCCCTGTGTTGCTCCACACTGTCTAAAAGACTTCTCATACTATCCAAATTCTGTTTCTTTCAAAGAGTAACACAAGCTTAACAACATTCAGCTTTTTATTAATAGCTTAGTTCTGCCTCTGTCATGTCTGTCTCCAAATGGAAGAAGCTGGGGAGGCTGTGATTCTGCATTTGTGATCTCTGATGTGGCATGGGTAGCTACCTAAGTGCAAGACAAGTATCTAAAAGTGAGATTACATGAGGTGTTCTCCTATCAGATGTTAAGATATGCTTTATCAAAAGACTGAGGTCTGCTATGAGGGAATATGAAGAAACAAATTATATTAATTGCTCTCTGCTTGCATTCTCTTCCACTCTTTTCTGGAAATTGAGACCTCTCAGATGAGATAGATAGATATTTATTTTCCCACCCTTTTTATTGCTTTCTTAGACCAGGGATTTTCTGCTTGCTCAGCTTACCAACCCCTTTTCTTTTCCTCCCCACTAAAATGTAAGAGGTAGCCCTGCCAACAGCACGCTCTGCTTCTTAACTTTCTTTGTGGCCTACCTCCCAGGAGGATCACAAGACTTGTAGAGGTCCTGGTGTCATCTCTTCACGTGACTGAGACAGCATGTTTAGGGTGTAGGTAGGGAAGGTAGTGCAGGAAACATTAAAGCAGTATACACAGGTGTACTAGTGCACATCATCAAAGTAGGATAGAGAATGGGAATGCAGTTTGAATACACAGCAATAAGTGTCTCTGACATCTGACTCTTCTTTCCTTGGTCAGGTACTGATACTTTTAAGATCCTGGATGGCTGTAATTCATATTGAAGAGTAAATAGTGTGACTGTGTGGCTGTACTAGGACAAAACACTAAAGCATTGAATTTTACTTGAAAGGTTTCCCCCTTGGTACTGCTTCCTTGGTCTCTTCATCTGGACCATTGTGGAGGTGTCTTGTGAAGTGAATGTATGAGAGAGTTGTAATGAGATGGTCTGCAGTGGTGCTCTGAATACATGTGCTCTGTCCAGGATGTCTCAAGCCATTCTCAGTGTGGAAGAGTTGGGAAGTCTTTGTAGTGTGCTGTAGGGAAGGGAAGAAACCCTCACGGAGTGGCTATCCTAGACATGCCTCTGCTGTTTAAAAACTCATGCTGCCTTAGCCTGAAGAAGACAAATGAAGTCACAAACTGAGGTGAATCTAATAATTTTTTTTACCCGTATCTAAACAATTGTCTGTCACTTTTTCATGATTTTGTAGTGGTTGTCATTTCTCAAAAACAGCTATAGTAGTTTGGTTTTGCTTTAAGTTATCTTTTCAGTCATACCTTTAAGTGGCTTGGAAATAAGCTTGCATAGCATGCCTGTGTTTAGGGATACTCCTGGATCAAAACATTTAGAAGGACTGTTACAAAATGACAATTTTTCTAGTTAAAGGAATATATGCTACCAATGTATGAGTCTAAAAAGAAAACAATTTGAGAGAGAAATACTGAATTCCATTTCTATTTTAACATCCATTTAGTTCAACTAAATTAATTTTGTTCCATGATGAAGTCTAAACCTACAGAACCAAATGGAAAAAGAAGTGCTAAATTCCATTTGTCTTTAAATGCTCATTTAGTCCAACCAAACTGATTTTGTGCCAAAGTCTAAACTGAGAGAGCTATTATCCTGGCTCACCTCGGTTTGACTTTCTCAGTACGTGACTAGTCATCTTCGGCAGGTTATTTTACTTGAAAAAATGAGATAAATGCCTCTTATAAGGAAGCAGCAGTGTGGAAGTAGAAGATTCTTCCTTCTGTGACATATGATCAAAACTTTCATCCAGAAAAAATAGTGAATTTTAAGCATTTTGAGTAGAGAGGAAACTTGAATAGGATTCAAGCTTCTCACTTCTGCAATGACATTAACTGTATTAAAGATCAAAGCCTAAACAGCAGGTCTGGTTGAATTTTTGTGTGTAGAATTAAATATCAACAGGCAAGAGTAGAAAATATCTGAATTATGGCTACATCTAGTCCTTTATATACATTTGTCAGAATTCTTTTCAAGTCTGATACCATCTGTTTTTTCTCTCCTGAAGGAGGGAGAATCCTGTGCACTATTTAATGTGCAGTTGTAAGGCACCTTTTTAATGTTTCCTTATACTAGTCCTTCAATGTGTAACCTTATTGCCTTGCCCTAGCTCATAGCTTAATGAGTGCAGGACAACACATACTATATTTTTCACTCTGCCTTGCTCTGTTTTGAGCTTTCGTGGGTTGTCTCTCAGCTCCCTGTTACACCAAGCTTTGTGTGCACTGTAAGAGGGTTGTGCAATCAGTGTTGCCATTTCTTATTTACTGTGTATTATTTAGTTGCTGCTCTGCAGGCAGTTACTGATTTCTTCCACCTTGACAGTTCTTGTCATTGCCATATCTGAATGTCACAAGCTTTGATTCATGTCCCAACTTAAGTTTGTGATGCTTCTGTAAGCTGAAAAGTTGTAGCTTTGGGCTCTGATACTGTAGGTGCATAAAACTGCTGGGCACTGGGCTAACATCCCTTGCATGGAAGAAGATTCTGTGCAGCAGTCTCTGCTGTGCTGACTCCCCAGGCTCTGAAAGAGAGAGAAGCTCCCCTTGCTCATCCTGTGCTATTGCGCAGCGCCTGCCCAACACACCAGTGTCTGTAGGAGTCATAAAGCCGTACAATCCTGGAATAACTTTTGAGTCCTGGCAGTTGAGCAGCCCAGACTTTGCAATATGTGTAATGCCACTCCAAAGTATGTCCCAGTTCTGGAATACAGTGAGTCAGTGCAGATCACAGTGCTGCCCTGCTGAGTGACACCGTTCACGTTTGTCTGTGCAATTTCAGATCCTTACGGTTACACTTACGGCAGCACGTCCATAGAAAGATTATAGTAGTCCATTGTGCCTTGGGTTTCAGATTTCTAGCATCTTCCATTGGAAACTTGTATTAATACTGGGAAAGTGAATTTGAGAACACTGACATCTATATGAGGTGATTGTTCCTCTTCTCTTTGAGTAGTTAACAGTACCCAAAAGTTGCCCAGTAAAGCAAGTCTATTAAAACTTTTATAAAAGCCAAGAAGAGGAAGATTTTATAGTGTTTATTTTGCTGAAATCACTAAGGTATAGCAAAAAAAAAATAGAGGTTGCAGTGTGTCTTCTTAGGTGTCAGAAGGATGTATTTGAGTTGCATATGAAGACAGGATGAGCTAGGTTTTCCATCTCCCTAATTCAAATAACTGCCCTTTTCCCTAGAGGCTCTTTCCGCCAAGGCGGTGTGTCAGTTTCTTTCAGTGATCTTTAGAGTCCAGGTGCAGGAAGCTGATTGCTGGTGCAGTGGCTCCACTGCACTGAAGGTCGGTGCCCAAATACCCTCTGCAGTTTCTCTCTTTCAGTGATCTGCAGAATGCTGCTGCAGGCTCCTTCGCCTCCGCCTTTGCCACCCTGGTCCTCTGCCCAACAGAGCTGGTGAAGTGCCGACTGCAGGCCATGCATGAAATGCAGTTGTCAGGAAAGATAATCCAGGGGCACAAGTAAGTATACAGCCTCCACAGTATCTCCCAAACCCTTTTCTATGTATTTATTGCTTTTAATTATGTATTGGCATGATGCCACATTTGTAGTGCACCAGAGAAGAGTTGTGGCTAGGAGGGTTGCAGCCTGGAGATTTTTAAGGTACTAGTAAAGCTGGATGCCAGTGAAGGGCTCCTGGCAGGATCTTGTTCTAAGTCTTCCCTGAATTCTATTGTTTATACAATGGGTCTAACCCGTAATTGTGGCTGCAGTTGCCTATTGTTCTGTAACCTTCTCATTACCTGGCTATGAAGCATCACTAACTGGATCAACCTCTCCACCAGTACAGTTTGGTCAGTAGTGAAGGGTGTTATTCAAAAGGATGGTCCCCTTGGATTTTACCGTGGCCTATCAAGCACTTTGCTGAGAGAAGTCCCAGGCTATTTCTTCTTCTTTGGAGGGTATGAACTGAGCCGGACGTTCTTTGCCTCTGGGAGATCAAAAGAAGAATTAGGTACAGTGCCCCTTTTTGCAGGTGGATTTGGGCATGCTGTCATGGGGGATATAAGGGGGTGGGGGGCACATCTTCCCTGAAGATAAGCTAATGACGCACAGCAGTTGTAAAACACATGTTCAACAAAGGAAACTGCATATAGAAAATATGGAAACCTGCCTTTTGTGTATGTATAGTAATGAGTGAAGTGACCACTTTCCAATGGAGCAGGATTATTATAATAAATACAGTGAGCTAACAGTAATACTACAAAACTACTGAAATATCTGACCCCACAGCATAACATAACTCTGAAGTATTTCATTTCAGCAGGCATTTAGTGTGATTTTGAAGTTTTTTTATCTGTATTCTCTTGAACAGTGTGTTCAAGCTGAAATGCATGCTGAATGTTAGATGTCATTACAGTAATATTAAGACAATGTGGAGGTTGAAAATTAGACAGGAAAAAATGAGAAGATGCCAGAATAACAGTTGCTTGTCTTCTGTTGAAAGACTGAACTGTAATACTTTGCGTTGCTGGGAGTCGAGATTTCAGCTACATGCATTCTGCTCTCTATTGTTGCAAAATGCTTATAAACATCTGATCTGAAACAAAAAATGTGGTTGCATCATGAAAAATGATCACAAAGCAACTTCACTGCACCAAGAATTTCTGTACAGATGATTAGTGACACAATGTGATGCTACTCTAAACCATTTCATGATTATCACTGGGAAGTGATTACAAGTGTACAAGGAGTGGAGTTAATTTAGTTAAGACATTTGAAACAGAATTTCAAGTTACGCTTTTTTAGCATGACCAGTAAACTAAGAGGCACTCCTTCTAACCTTTGAGCCTTTGGTTAGACTTGCAACTTGTCAGTGGCTTAAAATTAACTTAAAGTTTTGTGGGGAAGCAAAACCTGCCCTTTTGTCATAAGCATGTTCCTCTGTTTTATCTTTGACTTCTGTAGATGAAATATGCTATTTCTGTTGCTGAATATTTTGTGGTGTGTATAAAAGCTTCTTTCTTAACTTTAGGTCCCATTCCCTTGCTACTAAGTGGAGGCTTTGGAGGCAGCTGTTTGTGGATTGCTGTGTATCCTGTGGACTGTGTCAAATCTAGAATTCAAGTTCTTTCAATGGCTGGAAAACAGACAGGCTTTATGGGAACGTTTGCAACTGTTGTGAGAACTGAAGGTGAGTATGCAGCATATCAAAATAATCTATAGAGCTGCAGAAATCTATACCCCTCAATGTCAAAAATTGATTAAGAAATCTAGTCCAGTGGTAACATGTTAGAGACAGACAATAACTGTTTCTAACAAACAGAAATACTGCCTGGAAAGCTTGAAATCTAGAAATTGAGACCTACTGCTGCATCTGCCATGCTTCTTGGTTCAGGAGACAGTTCCCTTAAAGCTAACAAAAGCTCAGTATATATTAAAAGCAGATAAAGGAATAAGGTCCATTAACCTGCACCAGATCTATACCTGAAAATTGAAGGAACTGGTTAAGTTCAGTACAGAATTTTTCTTCATCTCTTGTAGTTAATACAGGGTTGATGGAGGGCTGTTTCATAATTCTATCTAACCTGGCAACTTGGAGCACCTACCTCAGTGTCTCATCTCTGGAAAATGCCTACATTGGGCATTGCAGAAGATGGTGTAAGAATGTACATGTCAGTAGAAATTAATCCTTACCTTGGTACTAGGGAAGATGCTCATCAGATCAGGAGTCTGTCTTGGGGTACAGCTGCAACATAGTCCTGATATTACTTCTGTCCCTTTTCCAGCTTGGATAGAGCTGCTGTGAACTGTATCCTCAGGTGGCCAAGGTGGCCTTCTGAAGATTCTGTCAAACCTGAGATAACCTTCTAACATAAGCACTGAAGTGGCTAGATTTGTTACAGGTCTAAGTACTCCCTCTGTATCAATACCCAGTAAGTAGCAGTGTGGTTAGCAGCTGCACCAGTGAGTTCAGCTCCCTGTGTGTGCAGGTCCCTCCAAGCAGAAGCATTAATTCAGTATCGTCTGAAGGTAGAAAGCACAGTGGTTGATGCAGATAAGCATTTCAATAAACTGCTGACTGGTTCTGATTTCACTTCCAGGTGTACTTGCCTTGTATTCTGGACTAAAGCCAACCATGATCCGTGCTTTCCTGGCCAACGGGGCACTGTTCCTTGCCTATGAGTACAGCCGGAAACTTATGATGAAACAAATAGATTCTTACTGATACCTTCTAGCAGATGGAGAACAAAAGGTGTTTTTAAGGATCATTTAAATAAACATTTAAAAACCTGTAGACCCCATCATGGTCTGAGCAGGGCCAAATCCATTACCTAATTTTAGGAACTCCAGTTTAGGATTTGTCATATTTTGAATTCAGGTGATTTTTATAGAAATGTGTACATGCTGCTTGAATTGGACCAGCAAAACTATCCCCATGTTGCAGATTCTGCACTAGGTACCTTGCATGTCATAAATGTACTTTCTTGATGTGTGATGGTGCTAAAAGGAATTATGTTGACCTGTTGGGTTTAATGTAACATGCAGCAATAGACTGTGATTTAAGGTAAAGCACTGCTTTAAAATCTGCACTCTGATGGTTAACTTTCCCACTTGTTGCTGGCAAGTGTCTGACTCAAAATAACCACTCCTCTCTAATGTGGCTAGACTCCTGTTCTTCTCCAGCTCTCTTCTGCCCTATGACTTTCCAAGGTCATGGCAGTTGGTGTATGACTTGTGCACTGCATTCCAGGGAATGGGCTTATTAAAGTAGGAAGTGTTCACCCCTTACCTTGTATGACTCAGAGCTGAGCTATGCCTGCATTTGAGCTAAAAACATATAGTTACTGTGTTGAAGGAGTCCATGCAGCATTTGTAACAAGAGGAGGTTAGCATTTTATTATTTTCTGAAACCTTCCAAGAAGTACTGGAATACATTAAGCACCACTGAATTAAACACTTAAGGGAAACTGCTGGAAATAATCTCTAGCTGTGATGACAGGAGCCTCTACAAAGTTACAGTTCTGTTTGGGTCACCTTGACATGAATGAGTTTATGTGCTTGAAGGACAGGAAGCTGAAAGCCAGAACTGAGTTCTTAAAGACAACTGACACCATGGTCTCCAGGGTGTAGCATGTGCTGACTCGGGCTGGAGTCCTGCCATGTGCTGTATCTCTTCAGCTGCTGGAGAAAGCTCTCATGACTGGATAGTTTGTATCACCTTTAGGCCTGGAGCTCATACTTGCTTGGTCATGGTACTTAATTAACTGTGCAGTTAAGTCAGTGTTACCCAAAATGATCCAGTAACACCTATTTCTGGATGTCACTTTCATTCTTGAAAGAGCATGTTTTTTTATGCAATCATGTTCTGCCTGGGAGAAGGCAAAGCAGATCTCAGAGCAAGGTAATTCATGACTCAGGCCTAGAGTTGTACAGGGGGATGTTGTCTGCATGCTGGAAGTGACAACCCACCCTTATGGAGAATACAAACAGAGCTCTTTGACACACCAAGAGATATTAGCATCTTGTCACAGCAACCGCAGTTTGTCAGTGACTGACAGCAGTCACAGCTCAGTTATGTATGTTAGTTTCTATTTCAGAACCCAGCAACAGGAAAAAGCCTTGGCATAGATGAAGCATCTCAGTACATACTGCCCCTTGCAGTGGAGCCAGGGTGCACTAAAACTGTCTAATCTACTGCACTGTTACCTTTGATGAAAGGTGGTTGCTGCCATTCCCCCACCTCTTCTTGCTTCCCCCAGCCATCACACAGAGCAGGAACTGTTCATCTCTCTTTCATACACTCAGGAGAAAAGGCAGTGAAGCAGGACATAGCTGAAGAATTTTCAGTGTCTATTGCACCAATTTATTGCTGCCCTTAGTGTACCAGTCAGTCAAGGTACTGTGCATCATCAGTACTTTAAAAGGGATTTATACCAAATGTTTAAATAATTCAGGTAGGAGGGTGAGGGTTTACGAGTTCTTAGTCTTCCCCTTCTTTTCAAAGGTGTCTAGCCAAGAGAAATAGTATATTTGTACATGTTTTTAGTAGTTATGAAAAGATGAGGACTGAATCCACGTGAGTGGAATACTTCAATCTATTTCCTAGATTTGTCTTTGCTTTCATTTTTTAAAGCTCATGGTTGCAGTTTTTAATACAAAAGTTGAAGCTTCAAGAGAAGCAGGATATTTAGAACTGGACCTACAGCAAGAAGCTGGTAGCTGAAATAAAAGATGAATTTTGAGAGTTTACCTTATGAAGCTGATGTAAGCAGTAATTTTTCCATTCACAGCTGCTTAAGCTGTACACATGTACCAATTGTTAAGCTCAGAACTTCACTGTTGGTATAGGAACTAATGGGAATAAAGTCTGATTTGAGGAACTGAGTACCTGACTATTGTTTGTGCAACAACACCTAAAGCAGCTTGTCTAACTGAACAGCAAAGAGAGGTTGAAGTCAGTGCAACCACCCTTTCAGAAACAAAGGCTTTCTGCAATCAGTAGACATATAAAGCCCTTAAAAGGGAAAGTGCCAGTTTTAACAAGTTGCTGTGAGCAACTGTAGATTTTACACAGTCTGCTATGAAAGATGAAGCCCACAGGTCAGCCCTTAACCTATTGCTTTGTTAGTATCAAAGTAAGTTCTAATACTGAAGTTGAGCTCAACTTCCAGATTTCTACAGTGTTGATTACCACAGGACATTCTCTAAGGGTAAGTTTCCTGCCAGAAGAATGCCAGGAGTCCAGCACAGGTTACCTAAATTCCACATATGCAAGGGATGAGTGTCCACATCTGAAGCCAGAGAAGGTCAGTCCTGCAGGGAGTTCAGGAACTATTGCTTGGATCTCTAAGTCAGGCTGTAGCTAGAAACATCTGATTCTTGCTGGTGTAGCCTTTGCTCCTGCTACATGAGAAATCGGCTTAGTCCACAAGCAGGAGGAAGGTTCACCTAAAGAGCCCTGCAAGCAGCTGGGAAGGGCAGCTGAGGACAGCGATATCCAGTGCCTGAGCTAAGCCAAAAGGAACTCAGTCATCAGCCTGTCTAGCTGCAATAACCTGGCGTCCTCTTGCAGCTCCCGGCACGTTCAGTGCAGACACAGCGGCCTCAGCTGCCTTCTCGCTCCATCGCCCTCTAGCGAGGCAGCTTTGGTGTCCCTCGCCTGGAGGGTCTCTGATCCCTAGGGCTGCATTAACTTGGCCAGCAGCCCTTCACCTAGAGGAGCAGCCTCTGAAGCAACTCTAGAGCTTGGGGAACAGTGGAAGTCAAACGTGAGCCAGCACAGCCTTGCAACAAAGGCTGCAAGAGCAAGCTCTGGAGACAGCAAATCAGACACTTCTGACCCTCTGCTCATACCTCTTACCTCTGTCAGGGCACACCTGGAATATCACATCCAATTTAATGTGTCCCAGTATAAGAAACACAGGGACATGCTGGAGCAAGTTTAGCAGAGGGCAAGCAGGATGGATTGTGGACAGAGCTATGGTTTGCCTGTAATAAAGTTGATGACAGATCTCACTGCTGAGAGGAGGGGACAGAACCAGGCTTTTAAGGAAGACACACGGCACAACCTGGGACATGAGAAATTCTAAACAGGAAAGGAAGTAGTTGTAAGATTAAGGTTTGTGTGAAGTTCCTGTCCTTGGAGGTCTATAGAACTGGACAAGGCTGTGTGAGCCTTTTCTAGCTGGACGTGTTTTGCATGGGAGTTTGGACTACATGACCTCCAGCTACTTCCACTCAGTATCTAGGAGAGCCAGGTTCACCCTCTCCTGCTCCTACAAACAATTGGTGGAACACTTTGCCACTGAAAACAGGTTTCAACCTCCACACTTGAAGTACAGTGCTGACAGCAGCAGCTTCCAACTCTGGGAGTTCCCAACAGCCCTGCCCATAAATACCAATTATATAGCAACAGCAAAGATTCCATAAAATAGCAGTCCATGTGTGACAGAGTATGTCACTGCCTTGAAGTATGCACCTGGAAGGCAAGAGATCTCTCTGGCTGTGGAAAGCTATGTCCATCCTCTTATCTTAGTTCACAAGAATAAAAAGACTAAAACATCAAAGCTCATCAGGTTTCTCATCAAGGAAGGCTTGAACAGTCACCACAGAAGAGCTGCACTGCTGAGAACAGCTGGGAGCAGAATAAGCATTGTCTGTGTGTTACAGGTCTTAGTCTGGCTCCAGAGGGGTGAGCAAGCATTTGCAGCTTTAGCTCAAAGCAGCAAGTGCAGAAATCAAACCCATCACATGCAGGTATTAAGGCAAACCTGGCAAACTGGCCACAGGCAGCTGGAATGCTCCCAACATGCTGGATTGCCATCTCAGCTCTTTGTGGTGAGGTTCTGTGGCAGAGAAGCACATGTGCAGTTTCCAGTCCCCAGTCAGCTCCTGCTCAAAACTCTGCATAATGGATTTCTGATTAAATCAAGACTTCTCAAGGAACATCAGTGCACCTGTGCCAGATTACTATTCCTGCTTCCAAATTCCTCTATTCTACTAACCTGTGGAAAATCCTGACACTGAGGGAAGGTATGTCAGAATTTTCCAGCAGTGTCCTCCACACTGTTGGTCTCCACCCAACATCAGATTAATGCTCTTGCTTGAAGACAACTGTCTTACATCAATAAAATAGGGATTACCTGTATGTAGAGATATAAGCGTCAAAGGATCCAACAGCTCATGAACATGACATGACATTCAGCTGACAAAAAGTAACTCTGAAGAGTATTACTGCTCTGCACAACAGAACTTCATGTAAGTTTATTTGAGAAGTTGTATCTACATAGAAATATATCAAGTACATCAAAATGGGACTCCTTCACTTTATACTGAAGCAGCAAGACATTATCCAGGAACAGACAAATTTTAGACGCTTCCCTTCTTTCAGCTCTTCCTTATGGTTCAATAAAGTTCACTTCCACAGCAAATGTCTCACTATAGACTTTCCATGTTTTAGACTTATGAGGGTTATCCAGCTCATTCCTGGGAAGGTAGAGTCTGAAAGACAAAATTCAATAGCATAACTTACAGCCTAAGACATGTTTTTCCTTTTAGCCAGCCACAGGAACTTCAAGTTCAGCCCTGGAATATTAAATATAGCCCCAGATCTTGAACTTAAGACATCAGCCATGCCTGCACAGGGTTTTGGATCTGAAGTAGTCTGAGAAACATGCAATCAACCTGATGAGCTTATCAGGACTTTCAGTGCAAGGCCTCCTGATG